ACCCTCTGCTTTGCTCTATTTAAAGTGAAAAAAGCGTTGCCTTTAGTTCTGCTTAATGCTTTAAAGTTCCTAACAAGATGTATGACAGTCAGCAATTAAACTGTATCTTGCCCAGCAAGCTTGAATCTGATTAGTGATAGAACAAGCAAGGACAGAGGATATTATATAGTGCAGACTTCTTAATTTACCCTCGTGTTTCAGTAAGTAAAGAGCATTGTGTATTGTGGCTGCAGTAGATTTTAGAGAATGCAGACTAAGGTCAACTGAGTGGGTTATATGATTTTATCAGTGCTTTATCATTTGTTACACAGCTTCTGCAGTTCCTGGAGTTGTTCCTCAAAGGGTAACTCCACTTATGTGGAAAGAATATTGCAAAATAAAAAAAAAATCATAAAACAGCATATATAATTGCTGCACAAGCCATATTATAATTTATTAAAAATTACAATTCCGTTTCAGTCTGCAGCGCTGTCATTTTTTTGTAAACTTCAATGCATTATAGCAGCTCTGGAGGTGATGTGTACACCAACGCCTCCAAAAATGTCCTTTGCTGCTTGTGTTGTTGGCTCACGGATTTAAACAGAAATCGACACCAAGATGCAATTCCGAGTTAAGGCATTCTCTGCAACAGAAATGTCATTTTTGGTGAAATACTTACTACAACTTTCCTCATCAGAACACTGAGAGTGCACCAGATGACTATAGTGAATTAGGCCCTCTCATTCAGAATCAGTCTGCACAGGACAAGCAACTATTTCTTCAGAGCAGAAACAGAAAACGTGTCTACAACAAAGTTATTAAGATCTATATAATGTACATTGATCACTAAGAGGGGATTATTTTTTTTTCTCAACAAAAGTGGATTTATTTTTATGTGCCTTAAAAGGCAAAGAAAACATTGGCACAAGAATAATTGTGGACGCCTTTTTAATGCATGAGCTAATGCTAAGAAACCAAATTATTTTAGAAAAATTATAAGAAGCCATGATGAAATAATATTAAAACACAATACAGCAAAATAGATACTGTGGGGGAGATTTACTAAAATTGGAACACTCAGAATCTGGTGCAGCTGTGCAAGGCAGCTATTCAGCTTCTAACTTCAGCATATTCAATTAAAGCGGAGGTCCACTCACCCTGTCAAAAAAAAAAGTCAGCAGCAACAAAAACTATAGCTGTTGACTTTTAAAAAACAGCCGCTTACCTGTCCCTCGGTCCTGCATTGTGTCCCCCGCAGCCCGTTTCACCGGCCGTCCAGTATTCCAGGAGGCCGGCATCTTCAGTGTGGGCACCCGGCTGTGATAGCTTGCGGCTTCACAGCCGGGTACCCACTACGTATGCGTGAGCAGTGCTGCGCTTCATGAATGGTCCTGTTGTCTTCTGGGACCTGTCATGTGTCCCACAAGACTACAGGGAGGGAGGGAGGACACCTTCCGCTTCTGGTCACCTAGGCGATCGGACCAGAAGTGGAAGCGGGTACCTGTCAAATTCGGGTACCCGCTCCCCCCCCCCCCAAAGGTGCCAATCCTTATTGGGGAACAGGGGAGCAGTCCTTAAAGCGGAACATCTCCTTTTGGGTGGAGCTCCGCTTTAAGCATTGACAATAAAACTTGGAAGCTGATTGATTTCCACACCAGATTTTTCATGCTCCAGTTTTAGTAAATCTCCCACTATGTTGACATTTAGAACCTGTGTACATGGGCTTTTTTTTGCATCAGTGCTGCTTTTCAAACCAATCAAATTTTTGGCCAACCTTTACGTTCCCCTCCCACTCTCCACTATTCCACTCCTCTCCTCCCTTACAGTCAAAATTGTTTATTTATCTTGAAACCTTTTTGGGGAGCATTTTCTTGCACTTTCTGTATTCTTGCCTAGGCAAAAATGATGTAGGCAGTACCCACAGCCACTTGGGATGCCCTAGTCAAGCATCCCAGGAAGTCACGGAGTATTCTACTGCGCATGCACTGCATCATCAGTGATGACATGCCATGGCACATGTGTGTCATTAGGGGGCAGCTGGAAAAGACAGTCGGCGTTCTGATGCCATCACAGAAAAAGAGGCACAGAATATGGTGTACTACAGCAAATTCCTAGAGAACACCACTGGATTACTGGGTATGTGAGTATGTTTTTGGAAAACAACTATGGGAATAAGTAGAGGAGGAATGAAGTTCCTCTTTAATGTGAAAACAGCTAAAGAGATAAGGAGAGGAGGAATGAAGTTCCTGAAGGTAATGTGAAAAGAATGAAGTTAATGTGAAAACAAAAGCAGTGTGATGCTGCTTAGATAGAGGTCAACTTCAGATCAGAAGAAGGTGGTCTCCATGTCAAATGCACATGTTAATGAACTCTAAATGAATTTCAGAAGCATCTCAAACTGATCTCAAATGCAATCAGAATACGCCTGAAAGGTCTAGGCCTATCCATACAAGCCCTTAAAGTAGAACACATTTTTTTTTCATTTTTAAATAGAGAATGGAGGGTTATAACACCTGTCAGATTTTTTTTTCGCCATCTCTGTCCCATTGTGGAGATTTCCCTTCAATTCCTGTCCCATAGCCAAACAGGAGGTGAGAGGAAATCCCTGCAAATTAAGGGACTTCAGGTCACCAGAATTAGTGTCCTCAGTGGCAGATTTCCTCTCTATTACTTTTCGGGTACAACCTAAAATTTGGGATTTTCTTTTACTTTCACTTTCAATGATAATAGCAAACAGGACAAAAAGAGAGGATACATTTCCCTAATGGAGGCACAGACAGCAATAAACACTGACAATCATTCTTGTCCTCCTGCATTCTATTCTATTCTTTTGCCTTTATTTATTCCTTAATATAATTTTTCAACAGAACAGGTTTTTTATGATAGTTGTGATCAATTGCACAGGGCCCTGGATAAAGGGGTACTACTGGTCCTCCTGTATTGGGTCCAAGCCAGCAGGAGGGCCCAGGCAGCTGAGGGAATCTGATGTGGGAAGGGAGGGTGATTGGCACAGCAGGGGGGCAATTACTGGAGTCAATCCCCTGAATGGCTCTCTCTGCAGCAACTGAAAGCTGGCTTCTTCTCCTCTCCTTCCCTCCAGCTTTCAGCTGCTGCAGAGAACAATAGAGGGGATCAGTTCCAGTAATTGCCTCCCTGCCGCACTGATCAGCCCCGCTGTGCACCATACGTTTTCCCCTGTGTGTCCCCCCTACCCCCTCAGTGCTGCCAGCTTCCCTCTTCTTCCCTCCGGCAGCTGCAAGCACCCAATAGGGTCCTTCATGATGGAGAGTGGGGAAAGGGTCCTGTAAATATGTCACATTTACAGCCCTTTCCTTACCTGAATGAACACAATGAGAGATCGGCACCAATCACTCACTGTGTTCATAACTGAAGCATAGTAAACTGTGTCTATTGGGGGGGCCTTGTCAGATTGGCTGTATGGGGCCCCGTGGTTTCTAACAGCAGCCCTGCTCCTATTAATCATCATTTTTCAGGTGTATGTTGTCCAGCCATATAAGCAAATAGAAGGATGTACAGATTTTATTTCATCCAAGGAATTACAAGTAGTATTAAGTTTATATTAAATATTACAATTGTCTTATGGAAAAAAAAAGATTACAAAATTACCTTAACAATCAGCCAGAAAGGATAATGGCGGCAGATCTGCTTATTATTAGGCTTGCTCTAAAACCACAATAAGCTGAGAAAATAAGACAGAACTGTATACTGCTGGAGGCACATTATTCTACTAAAATGCTAAACATACAGGGAAAATGCTGGCTTTCACGGCTCTGTTAGTGTTTAGCCCTGACAGATACACAAAGCAAATCTTGTTCCTTCTCTCTCCTGTTATTAACTGCAGGAGACATTAAGGTGACTTAGTTCTTTCTCCAAGATTTAAAAGAGACACTAATTCAAGGAAAGGAGAGGAAAATGAAAAGAAAAGATACGAATGATAATATAAATGATTTCTTTGGAAGGAATTAGAAAGCGAGACAGTATACTGGCTATTCACTTATATATGGGCAGCACAGTGGTTCGCACTTCTGCCTGGCAGTACTAGGTTGTTGGTTCAAATCCCAGTCATGGCACCTCCTGCCTGGAGTTTGCATGTTCTCCCTGTGCCTGCGTGGGTTTCCTCAGGGTACTCCGGTTTCCTCCCACACTCCAAAAGACATGCTGGTAGGTTAATTGGATCCTGTCTAAGTTGGCTCTAGTATGTGTATGTATGAATGTGAGTTAGGGACCGTAGATTGTATGCCCCTTGAGGGTTAGGGACTGATGTGAATGTACAATATATATGTAGAGTGCTGCGTAAATTGACAGCGCTATATAAGTATGTGTAATAATAATATTTAATTTAAATAAGGAAATGCAAATAATTGTTTTTAGAATAATACAGCTGTAAATTATTTTTTTCCCTAGAAACACTCTTCAGGCCATAAAAATAAATTCTAGGTATTTATGGATGGATACCATACCTGGACAATGCCCCTGGAAGCTGGAAATCACTGAAGATACAGCTACTCCAGTGATCTCTGATTGCTGCCGGGTCCCTTGCTGAGCGACTGGCTTGATGCATTCCGAACACAGGAGGTCAGCTGTATGGCAAGGGCATCATTCAGAGAATGCTTTACGTTTTCTGAATGAATAAAAAGTGTTCTCTGATTGAAAGAGGTTTAGAGTTGGGGCGGTGACATCACGCTCTCCACCTCATCAAATCATAGAATGCTTTGCATTCATTTCGAAGGATGCAACACATTTTCTAAGCGGCATCTGTGCCGAGCAGTCGACCGTCTGTGTTCACAATGCAGCAGGGCAGCCACCAGACTTGGAAGCAAGTGGGGACCACTGGAGCAGCATTGTCTACTTCAGTGATTTCCAGCTTCCAGGGGTATTGATCAGGTAAGGCTTATACATAATTATGTTGGTCCAAGCTAGATCAATGCAAATAAGTATAAAACATCTATACATGAAATTCATTTTTAACCCCTTGTAGCCTGAGCCTCCGAGCCACGCGCGTCCTGCTGTGCCACCATTTGCGGCTGTCAGTCACCGGCTCCCGGCCAGTAATTACTTGCTGGCGCGCAGAGATTTTCAACGATCACCAACAGGGAGGAGGGCTGTTTTGTTTACTAACAGTTTTCCTCTGTGTCAGCTCGGGCACATTGCTCTGGATGGCTGTGCACAGCACAGCCATCCAGAGCAGTGTGATTACAGTGAAACACACACACCGCCCCCTAGTAAAACACTCCCTGCACACTGTTAACTCTTTGATCACCCCTCATGTTAACCCCTTCCTGCCCAGTGCCATTAGTACAGTGCCAGTGCTTTTTCTTAGCACTGATCACTGTATTGGTGTCACTGGGGATGTCAGTGACACCAAGTCAGTTCCCCCCCAGTGTCAGAATGTCTGCCGCAGTCCCGCTATAAGTCACTGATCACTGCCATTACTAGTAAAAATAGAAAATTAAAAAAAAAATCCTGGTATAGATACCGCCATTTGTAAATGCTCTAACTTTCACGTAAACCAATTCATTTACACATGTTGGGATTTTTTTTTTTAGCAAAGACATGTAGCAGAATACATTTTGGCATAAATTTATGACGAAATTTTATTTCTTTTACTGGACATGTTTATTAGCAAAAACTCAAAAATATTGTTTTTTTCTCAAAATTGTTGGAATTTTTTTTATAGCGCAAAAAATAAAAAATGCACAGGTGATCAAATACCACCGAAAGAAAGCTTTGTGGAAAATAAAGGATGTAAATTTCATTTGGGTGCGGCATTGCATGTCTGCGCAATTGTCAGTTAAAGTAACGCAGCACCGTAACGTAACAAATGGCTTGGTCAGGAAGCGGGGTAAATCCTCAAGAGGCAAGTGGGTAATGTCGTTTTTTAAATAAAAAAGGAGCTAACACTTACCTGCTCCATGCAACAATATTGCACAGAAACCTTGCTTTCCTCTTTTTCTTGCAGTTTCTCTTTGCAGGTGCCTCCTGTAGCAAGCTGGATGCTTAGGAGGCAGTTGAGCTTCATGTCTCGCACCAAGCTGTGTACTTCCATAGACACACACAGCACTGGTAAGCCATGTCCCCATTCCCTTCTCATAGGAATTTGAGTTTCTCCTGTGAAAGGGGTGTGACGCTAGAGCAGGACCAGGGGCGGACTGACCATTTGGAAACTCGGGCACTGCCCGAGGGCCCGGGGTCAGTATGGGGACCCATGAGATGCCCCTGGTACCTTTTTCATAGGCTTTTTTGAGTTTGGGCAAGGACAGAGGGGCCCCATGGTCCCCTATTGCCCGGGGGCCCCCTGAGTTGTCAGTCCACCCCTGAGCAGGACACAGCATTGGAGAGGTAACATTGAGTCAGGTGAGTGTTTAGGGGCAGGGTGGGGTGGAACAAGTATTCAGGTTTTTTTTTACCTAAATGCAAAGGATGCATCAGGGTAAAAATTATATAGAACTTGGCAAAATTATGGTAAAACCCATCATTTTGTTGCCGAATCATGCTGCTCATTCCTAGAAATCAGCAGTACTTTAAACTGCATATTCAAATAATGATATGTTATAACCAGAAGTCCCAAGCATAGACTTTTAAGCTGAATTTACAGCTCTAATTTGTGGTACCACCACATCAAAAGCTGACTCCAAACTGAAAAATGGGAGAAATTTTAGCAGTATTTCCAGGAAAACTGAAAATCACCCTGACCGTACAGTACCACTTTGTGTGTCAGTAACACAGAGGGGGCCCTCCCGCAACTCTTAGCCTTTCTGCAGAGAAGATCAACAATTAGATTTCAACTTCATTGCCACCTACGTGTTACACCTGCTATTGCTGTAAATCTCAAAATAGAATATTTCCTAGAGGAATTATGGTATTTTTGTGGTCAATCATCAGTCTGTCAAACATTTTTCAAATTTAAGTACAACTATATTTGTTATGGTATGATGGAAAGATGGAATTATCTAGGGGCATAAAAGGTCCTCAGTCGAATAGAAAATTTCTTCAAGTTATAATCCGTAGGACAGGGGCGGACTGACCATTTGGAAACTCGGGCACTGCCCGAGGGCCCAGATCAGTAGGGGGCCCCATGAGATGCCCCTGGTACCTTTTTCATAGGCTTTTTTGAGTTTGGGCAAGGATACAGGGGCCCCATGATCCCCTATTGCATGAGGGCCCCATGAGTTGTCAGTCCGCCCCTGCCATAGGATTATGTACCTGCAAAGCGCCTGTTTGAGTATTTCAAAGGTAGTTTCTGTTTAAGAAGGCCAAGGCCAAGAATAGAGTACCTACTAGAAGGAATTTTTATTCTGGGTAGAACCATTCTATCGTAACCTCTCATTGCACTGTCCCTAATTGGCAATCAACTACAGGAGTAATTCTCTTCTCTCAAGAAGCCACACAATATTTATGGTGGAGACAAGAAAATGGGACATTAAATGTGCCTTAGAGAGGACATTATAACACACATTTAGTAACACATCACCAGCTTTATTACACAATTAAAGTGTTTGTAAAGTGTATAGTTTTATTTTATTTTTAAAAAATAACAAACAGGTTTTCTTGGGTCCCCTGCCGGCGCTCCTGACTCTTCCTCCACTTGGTGTGTCACCATAGGAATTTGCTTCCTATTGTGACACACCAGCTTGCTCGATCCCAAGCCCCGCTGTGTTTGTCCATTGACACAAACAGAGAGGCTCAGCCTCACCCCCTGCTCCCTCCTCACAGGATTTGGCTGACAGCAGCAAGAGCTAATGGCACCCACTGCTCTCAGCGAAACCCATGAGAGTGGGTAGAGGGGAGAGAGAAGACAGAGCCACTGCAGATGGGCATTGCAAAGAATCGAGTGAGGTAAGCGATACTAATGACTAAACATTTTTTACCCTAATGCAAGAAATACATTATAGTAAATGTTTAGGCTTTAAAAACACTTTAAAATATTATAAAAACCACATGGAAGAAATATCAGCAGCCATATCGAATTTAATGCAACAAATGCATTTATTAATATACAGGGGCGGACTGACAACTCATGGGGCCCCCGGGCAATAGGGGATCATGGGGCCCCTGTGTCCTTGCCCAAACTCAAAAAAGCCTATGAAAAAGGTACCAGGGGCATCTCATGGGGCCCCCTACTGACCCCGGGCCCTCGGGCAGTGCCCAAGTTTCCAAATGGTCAGTCCGCCCCTGTTAATATATAATATATATATATATATATATATATATATATATATATATATATATAATTCTATAAGGTAACATTTATTATATCATTTATATAATTTAATATATAATTCTACCATTTAAAAGTAGTATAGTGGATTGACGCGTTTCACAATATTATTGTTTCTTCAGGATCCACGTCTATAAATAAACAGAAGCTATGAATAGAGGCTACCATGGAGAGGGATATCAAAGTAAATCATTCTCCCCAAGGTAGCAGATGTACATTGAAAGAGTAATGTATCCCTGGTGTCCGTTGTTCCCAGTGGTATACTAAAATAATCCAGGTCCCAACTCATCTGCTAATGTTGGGGTGAAGTATAATATCTTAATGGCATAGTGATCTCTTCTTCAATAAAGCCTCACTTGTACACACAGCACCGTATAGCATGCAAAAATGGGTCACCACTATTTATATATTTTCCTTGCATTCACACCTTTACCTGTTAATATATGGTTGATGAGTAACATTGGGATATATTTGATGCAGGTACGTCTGTGGTGGAAAATTAATATATTCTGATTCCTGTATGCAATTAGTACATGTAAATGTTAGCAATTAGTATATACATTCCTTTTTTAATTACACACGGATTGGTAAATTTATCCACAATTACCAAGCTGTCCAGAAAAAATTGCAAGTGACAGGTGTTGGGACAAACGACACTACTGCCAGGAACAGTTTTAACTTTTTCAAAGATTTGCACCACATGAAAAAGGTCAATTGTTGTAAGCATCTCTGACAGTGTCTATAGTGTGTCAATACTTGAACTGCTGGCCACCCACTCACAGTACACCTACTGCAAGCGGGTGGCAGCTGTACATACATGTACGTCGCTGCCTGCTTCTGGGTTTTTGGGCACATGTGTGCGCACCCCCTGGTAACCCATGCTGTGATTGAACACAGCACCTGTGTCTTTGCAATTTTCAGCTAATGATTTTTTTTACAAACACGCAGAAAACAGAAAAGTGATCTAGCTGTTTCTGCTCCCTGAAAAGCTGGGAGAAAAAACAGCCAGATCTATGAGTAAAAGCAGCACGTATTACACTTGTTAGGCACGCAGTTAACCCCTTGATTGCCCCTAGATGTTAACCCCTATACAGCCTGTGTCATTAATACAGTGTACTCTATTATCACTAATCACTGTAGTAGCGTCACTAGCGACATCCGTGTCAGTTAGTGTCCCTCCCAGCCAGTGTCTGTTAGCACCAGATTGCCCGCCACACTATAAGTCTTTGATCACAGCCATTACAAGTATAGCATCTATCGCTCCTCAAATTCCAATATATTTACCATAGTTTGTAGACTCTATAACTTAAGCACAAACCAGTTAATATGCATTTATTGGTATTTTGTTTTTACCATAGACATGTAGCTGAATACTTTTGGCCTAAATTTTTGTAGCCTTTTTTTTTCATTATTGGATATGTTTTAAAACAGAAAGAAAATATTAGGGTTTTTTTCAGTTTTCAGTAATTTTTTAATTTATATAATTAAAAAATAAAAAAACTCCAGTTACATTTTTTAATTTTCTCATGCAGTGGGGCTGTGCCTGCACTGCATGGGTTAACTGCTCATTTTGTTGAGGGGCTCAGGGAAAAGCTATACTTACCCTGTCCTCCGATACTCCAGAAAACCATGCTCCCTCGCATCCAGAGGTGGACTGTTCCTGCCCTCCACAAGTACGGAGCCAGTCTGTGGGTGTGATGACATCAGGAACAGCCCATTCACAAGACCATTAGCGTGCAGAGGGGAGGAGCAGCGGGGACCAGTCTTGCGTTCAGAGGATTAGGTAAGTACATCACAGCTTCATAAACCCCTAGACAAAACTAGCATTTAACCCATGCAGTGTGGCTGTGCCACACTGCATGGGAAAATAAAATCTTTGTCTATATTTCTTCTTTAAATACCACTGAAAGAAAGCTCTAATTGTGTAAAAATAATTATATAACTTTAATTTGGGTACAGTGTTGCGTGACAATGTAATTTCCAGTTAAAGTAGCACAGTGCTGAATAACAAAAAATGTCCTGGTCATGAAGGGGATAAAACTTTCCAGAGGTCAAGTGGTTAATCAGAATACAATATTTTTCTTGATGGTGATCCATAAAAGGCATTAGTTCTCATTCTGAACATTTTAGCTGGGGTGTCCCATGCCAAGTGCTTGGGTACCCTAGAGTGATCATATTTATATAGCTATGCTAAGACAT